AAGGCATCGGACGGGCCTGGTCATCACTGGGGAAGGCGCCCCTCAGGCGAAGACCAGTGCAAGGTCCTCTCATTAATGTTTTAGACAGAGGCCCAACCTCTACTCCTACCTGTTGCTTAATAAAACAAAAAAGGGGGAGCTGTGGAGAGCTGCGGGAGCCGCGACCAAAGACAGCTGCAAAAGCAACATTGTAGCTAAAATGGCAGGGCCCCGTGGTGCGGCTGCGACCTAAGATGGTGCGGGCTCCCGCCTTCCGTCTTCCTGGTGACGAGTGCTCTCTGTAAAAAACAACTCCTTATATGGCTATGACTTGGCTCCTAGTTTGCTTCCATGTTTGCAGCCCTATCCGTATATGCCACGTGGCGCTTCAGGATTGGCCATCCAGGAGGCTTATAACCGGAGCGCGGGGCGGATGGGAAGGAGAAACAAGGAGAAGCAGGAAGAAGAAGGAAGAAGCGGGCAGGAGAGAAGTAGGAGAAAAGAAGCTGTAAACAAGGTCCTGAATAAACCGTCTGAAAGAAGAACCTGTTGTCGCGTCATCCTTGCGGGTCGAGGCGGTCGCGACACTCAACAATCTACATTGAGATATTTATCCACATATAAATAAGGACAAATAAGGTGCTGGGGATCTACGTTATACTGTTAGTAATGGAGACCACTGTTCCTGGGCCAGGAACGACTGACACACTTTCTTGGAGTCATGTAATCAGGGTACAGGATGTTTTGCAGCTGTTCTGGAAAACAAGAGGATCTCCTCACACACGGGGTAGCTTAGCTGTGTGCTGCTTATGAACGCAAAACCACTCGGCAGCCAGGCAGTGTTGTAGGATTTCATAAATATATTTGAGCATTGTTTGCATTTTATAACAAGAATACATATATATATATACACACACACGTGTGTGTGTGTATTTTTCTTCTTGGTTGGTCGTGGGACTTGAACTCAGGCCCTGGGCACTGTCCCTGAACTTCTTTGTGCTCAAGGCTAGTGCTCTACCACTTGAACCACAGTACCACTACTGGTTTTTGAGTGGTTAATTGGAAATTAGAGTCTCATGGGACTTTTCTTCCTGGGCTGGCTTTGAACCACGATCCTCAGATCTCAGCCTCCTGAATAGCTAGGATTACAGACGAGAGCCACTGGTGCCCAGCTAAGAATATATGTATTTACTCTGTGTGTGTGTGTGTGTGCGCGTGCCCATACTGGAGCATGAACTCAGCCTCACCTCATGTTCTTGTTTAGGTTTTGCTCAAGGGTGACATTCTACTGCTTGAGCCACTCTTCCACTTCTGGTTTTTGTGCTTTTTTTGGTGCAAGTCCTGGGGCTTGAACTCAGAGCCTGGGCGCTGTCCCTGAGCTTCTTTTGCTCAAGATGAGTGCTTGAGCCACAGCTCTGCTTCTGGCTTTTTTTTTGGTGCCTCATTGGAGAGGAGAGTCTCAGGGACTTTCCTGCCCAGGCTGGCTTTGAACCAACATCTGCAGCTGTCAGCCTCCTGAGCAGGTGGGATAATAAAGACAGGTGAAATTCAGATTTGAGCCACTGGCACGCAGCTTACTCACTGGATTTTTCTAATGATCTGTATAGGTTATGGAACAATTACCAGTCACTCATCTGCACAGGACACGTGAGGACACGTGTCTGTCCAGAGCACGTGTCTGTCCTTAAACCTCAAATCCTCCATCCCACATCCCTTCAGACAGTGTCACTTTGTCTAAATTCATCCTCCACCGGGAATGAAAATGTGGCATTTACAGGAATTATAAGAGGATAAATACTAGGAGACGAAAATTATGAAATCTCAAGGGCCAGTGCTAACGACTGTAATCTTAGCTACTCAGGAAGCTGAGATGTGCGGATTACAGTTCAAATCCAGCCCAGGCAGAAAAGCTCATGAGACTCTTATCTCCCAAGCTGGAAGTGGAGCTGTTGCTCAAGTGGTAAAGTACTAGCCTTGAATGAAAAGGCTCAGGGACATTGCCCAGGCCCTGAGTTCAAGCCCCAGGACCAGCACACACACAAACACACTCCCAGTGCATCTAATCTTAACAAAGGGCTTCTACAGTAACTCAGCTGATGGTGAGAATGCAAAGTGGAAGGAGCTTCGTGAAGAGCAACTCCACACTGGACCTGATGAGCAACGCAGACACACCTGTGCTGGAATCCAGTGAAAAGACTGATCTTAGCCAGGTGCCAGCATTCCCTATGCACTGGAATGTAGCCGGGCTGAGGAGCTACTAAAACCTCAGCCTGGCGGAGCCCCGCCCCATCCCTATGGGTACCCACAATGCATTTCGCTGAACCCACTGGGATTCAAAGGTGCTATGAAAACAATCCACTCCACATGTGGAAGTTATAAGCTGAGTACAATCACAAGGAAAATAGTCCCTCTGCACAGATCATCTGGGAGAATGGCAAAACAAAAGTATCAGGGATGACCCTATGAGATGCATATTTAAATAATATTAAGAGAATGAGTGTGCTTCCTATTGTTAGATAGATATACTGACAAACAAAGTTAGCAGGCCGTACAATCCTTATTGTGGGGGAAAAAAAAAAGCCATCACAGTCTTCACAATGCATTCCGACCGTACTGAACCATTGGTTTGCAGTCTTAGTTCTACTCTGGAATTTTCCTGAGACTACCAAAATTTAAACTCAATGCATTTCAAAAGAAAATTAGGGGCTGGGAAGGTGGCTCAGTGGTAGAGTGCTTGCCTTGCATGCATGAGGCTCTGGGTTCCAATCCGCAGCACCACATAAGCAGAAAAAGCCGGAAGTGATCCATGGCTCAAGTGATAGAGCGCTAGCCTTGAGCTGAAGAGCTGAGGGACAGTGCCCAGACCCAGAGGTCAGGCCTCACGACCTACAAAAAAAAAAGAAAAGAAAAAGAAAACTAAACTTTACTTCAGAGAGTGAACCTCAGCGCTAACAATATGTTTAACATTTTCTGCACACTTCCCCCAAATTAATAATTACACTTATTAGAAAGCAAGCAAACAAATTACTATTTTGACATAATTAATTGGCCACTTATTCATTGTTATGAATGTATTCTTCTCCCATAGTCATACTTTAATGTGTACATGTCAATAAGGCAAGGCAGGGATGGGGATTTTTAAATAGTTTCAAAAAGGAACACAATTAATTTTCATGATTGTTGCACAAACCTCGCAATATGTGTCAAAGGAGCACACTGGATGAATTCAAATGGCTTCATAAAAGCAAAGAAAAACAGAATCATAATCACCTAGATCAGAGAGTGATCAACTATTTTTTAAATAGAATTCCTTTGCTGAGAATTAATGAACATTGGTTCCTACCAGAATGTTCCAAAGTGTGAACTGTTGTTGGGAAAAGAAATAAACACAGCAGTATTTTAGTAGTTCAGTGTTTCCTTTAACATATCTTAAAAGTAAGTAGCTGGGTGCTGGTGGCTCACGCCTGGAATCCTAGCTACTCAGGAGGCTGAGATCTGAGGATTGTTCAAAGGCTGGTTCAAAGCCAGCCTGGGAAGAAAACCCTCTTATTTCCAATGAATCACCAGAAAAGCAGAAGTGGCTCTGTGGCTCAAAGTGGTAGAACACTAGCCTTGAGCAAAACTGCTCAGGGACATCACCCAGGCCCTGAGTTCAAGCCCCCCAACCAACAGAAGAAAAAAAAGTAAATATTCCTGGATCGAGCCTGAGTGAGGTACCACCAATGCTGTTGTTGATAATGAACTCCTATGTTAAAAGAAGTTCATTACAAACCAAATTCCTGCTGGTCTTAGAAGTGGTACACAGCCATGATTGGATCTCTGTCCTACTTTCTTACACAGGAACCTACCACCACCCCCACCCCCCACTCCACATGCTCACACCTCAGCTCTTGGTCCATCTCCAACAGCTGGAGCCACTTCTGCTCAACCTCAGGGTATATGGGTACCTTCTCCATGCACTGGGGACTATAATGTAAACTCCTAGGTAAGTGCTCCTGCCACGGGTGACCTTTAATCCAAACACACAAGAGACAAGGTCATCTTTTTTGTGAATGGACCGGCAGTCTTGAGTTCCTTGTGATTCTTGGACCACAGCAGCCACATCTCCTAAAGCCAGATACGCAGGTGCGTGGCTCCTGAGCCAGCGCCCACACAGGATCATGACCCGGCACGATCATGACCCTGCATGATCATGACCCGGATTCAAATGCTCCACTGGGCTTGAAAACACCCGTCCCCAGCATTTTCCTACAACCCATGACCCCCTCTTTATTTCCTTAATTTCATTTTTTATTCTCTATTTAAGTAGTTGTACAAAGGGTTTGTTGTTGTTGTTGTTGTTTGTTTGCTTGCTTGCTTCTTGTGCTAGTACTGGGGCTTGAACTCAGGGCCTGGGCATTGTCCCTGCACTTTTTTCCTCAAGGCTAGCACTCTACCATTTGAGCCCCAGTTCCACTTTTGGCTTCTTGGGTATTTTGTTGAAGATAAGGGTCCCCCAGACTTTCCTGCCCAAGCTGGCTTCAAACCGTAATCCTCAGATCTAAACCTCCTGAGTAGCCTGGATTACAGGCTTGAGCCACCAGCGCCCAGCTTCATATTAAATCATCAAACACCCTCCACTTATTCTTTGTCGTGGAAATCCACTGCATCAAAAATAGGAAATAAAGCAAGAAGATAAAGACACAAGATCTATGAAAACTAGAGGAAGTCACAAAACCAAAAGATTTAAAGACTCCAAAATACGGTACATATCCCAAGGTAAGCAATGCCCAGCCGCCCCGCCCAAACTATAGACTCCTCTAAAACACAAAACCAACAGACTGCACTGTGTTTGAATACACAGAGAGATGATTTACCTGCGCAGAAAATAATTCAAATGAATGAATACATAGAAAAGTAAGCTAGCAAACAAAAGGAAAGGTTTTTAAACTCTAATGAAAACAAAAAGTACTACAGAAAAGGAAAAGTAATCAGAATACACAGGGCTCAGCTCCAGTATTTACATAATGTAAACATTAAACATTTGTCTAAACACAACTACCTTATTATTCAGCTGAGGTAGAAGGAAGAAAAGCTCTCTCTTTCCTAACAAGCCTTTAGACTAGTTAACTCTTTAAATGACATGCCCTTCATAATGCAGATAAAGCTGAACTGAACATAAAATATGAACACAGTCCCTGGGGGCTCAGCTTCGGGCCTGGCCAATCCCCTGTGGTCTCAGCTTCGGGCCTGGCCAATCCCTTGTGGTCTCAGCTTCCGGCCTGGCTGTAGCTCCGCCCTAGCTCCCTCCCTGGGAGAAGATGGAAGCTGCTAGCCTTGTTCCTCTCTCGCTCTGGGCCGCGGGGCTTGTCACCTCACCTGCCCACACAGTTCTCTGCATCTTATTATCTCATGTCCTTCTTGCTTTCCTGACCTCCCTGCAGGTGAACTTGCATGGAATGCACTTCAGACTCTCCCAGGGAACTTGGTGAGCCCCCTAGATATACTGGAGCCACATTTGGGGGTGTATGATCCAGGCCTGCATAGCCTAGAGCTGTGGCTTGGGTCACTGGCAGGCTCTGATCTTGGAAGGGAACCATTGCACTGAGCAATTCACTAACTGCCCACACCCCGTTGTATACACATCATGAAAACCCATGGCACTTAAAATAAATGCTAGCCCTCTGTGAGGAGGGTATGATACAGACTGAAAAAGTTAACTGTTAGGCAGAGAGTGCACAGCCAAGGACTTCGATGAGAGCTGTCTTTGAGTCTTGCCTTGCATCTAACTTGGGCAGCACCTGTAGAACCTTCTAGCATCCTATTAGAGACCTTCCTGTGCGCAAGTCTGCCCAGGCCTGAGGTGTTCCTTTATATAATCAATGCACAAACATGGAACACCCAGACATCACAAAGGACAGTGAAAAATAGGTGTCTCCCCAACTTCTCCAGCCCCTCAGTTTCTCTTGCAGACAACACCCCTGCTACTATGCTATTAGGTGTTCTTGTAACAGGGTCTGACAGGGTATATCCATAATCACCACCCCTTTGGGGGAGGCAGGGGGAAGAATTGGGGATTGTGCTCAGGGCTTCATGTTTCCCAAGCAGATGCTCTACCACCTCAAGCTCCTTTTGATTACTATTAGGATAAGTTACACCTCAAGTTCTTCTTGTGTTGATTACTACGAGGGTAGAATCTTGCTTTATGCCCAGGCCTGTGATCTGCCTACTTCTGCTTCTCCTTGTTGTAGGAATTGACAGGCACACACCACCAACACCACCCATTGTGCAGATGCCATCACCCCCAGCCACTGACTAACGTGAAGTCTCAGAAACTTCTTTTTGCTTGGGGCTGTGATCCCTTATTTCTACTTCCCAAACAACTAGAAGTACAGGCTTGAGCTCCCTCAGCCTGCTCATACCCCCTCCCTTTATAAAAAACCAAGTCATTACGATGCCCAAAGCATTCTCCACCCTGCTCTTTTGCATAATATATTAGAAGATACAGCATCTAGATTCACCTCATGGATTTAGGAAGAATCTAGTTTTTCAATTTACAGAAAGACTCATCTTTACTGAGACCACCCCATGGGTGGACATGGCTTGTTTCCAGTTTTCTATTCTATCAGTTTTCCTGACAGAGTTGCTGGGGCTAATCCTTCTTACTTTTAGATGCTCTCTCTTTTTTTTATTTTTGGCGGTCATGGGGCTTGAACACTGGGCCTGGGTGCTGTCCCTCAGCTCTTCAGCTCAAGGCAAGCGCTCTACCACTTGATCCACAGCACCACTTCCAATTTTCTGGTGGTTTACTGGAGATAAGAGTCTCTGGACTGGGGCTGGGAAAGTGGCTGAGTGGTAGAGCGCTTGCTTGCCTTGCATGCCTGAGGCCCTGGGTTCGATTCCTCAGCACCACATAAGCAAAAAGAAAAAAGCCGGAAGTGGGGCTGTGGCTCAAGTGGTAGAGCACTAGCCTTGAGCTGAAGAGCTGAGGGACAGTGCCCAGGCCCAGAGTTAGGCCCTATGACTGGACCCAAAAAAAAAAAAAAGTCTCTGGACTTTCCTGCCCGGGCTGGCTTTGAACCATGATCCTCAGATCTCAGCTTCCTGAGTAGCTAGGATGACAGGCATGAGCCATGGGCGCCTGGCTTTTTAGATGATCTTTATCCACTGCCCACTGTCCATTCAGAAGGCACCATATCACAACTGTTTTGGTAATCCAGATTTTCATTAAAACACTCCAGGAAGTATTTCAGTTAGGACTACCCAGGCTACAAAGATCAATAGCTCTCAACTACAAAGGCTAAATATGTCATGGGAATGCATTTTTCATTCTCAACAGTCTGAGATGGGTGTTTCTGTCAGCAAAAGGATCTTCAAGACCCAGACTCCTTCTGTGGGGTGGCTTTGCATTCCTCTAGGGTAGGGTCTGGAAGGCCACGCCCCCCTGCACTTACTTCCTGCTTCGATGTCATTGGCTGAGCCTGTCACCCAGATGAATGCCAAGGGAAGGACTGCTGGGTCTGTGGTCCCTGGGATACAACTCCATATGGGGTTTTGAAAGGTAGATAGTTGTCTCTGCCACAGAAAACGTTCTCTACTTTTGCTCAAAAGATAGTATCATGAGATAGCTAACCCAAGTTTTAGTTCAACTTTTATTATTTAGCTAACGCCAGTGGGTTTTTTGACGTGTTTTGGTGTGCCCCTCTCTCTTTCCTACTTCTGGTAACAGAAATCCTTTTCCCTGACTTTCTCATAGCAACTCAACCTCCCCACACACACTCCTAGTCCGCAATCCCGTTTTTACCACAGTCCCACATCCCAATGATCACAAAGTAGCAGTATCTAACCACAGCCAATATCTCCTACCATACACAATTATTTATCTTTATTAGAAGCGCATTTCCCGCAAGTAAGCTAAGTTAGTGGGTTCCATGCAGTTTGGTCCTTTGACTTGATGGCTGCAGGCCCTCCCTCGAGCAGGGAGCTGTCGATCAAAAGGGTCCTCTTGGCTGTCTGGACTGTCCTGTGATTATGCTTGGAATTCTTCACAGATGCCTTGAGGAAGCTGCACTCCAGCTGCAAGGAGCATTGCCACCACAGATGCTACCGAATCCACAGCGTGTGGCCTGAAGACCCTGTGCCTGTCACAACACCAGGGTCCAGGCCCAGCCTGGGCCATCCCAAGTCTCAGTGAAGTCTGGGTGACCCTGCTCACTGGCAGGTCTTCTCACAGTGGGTAGGTGGGAGTACTTCCCTGGACTCAGTAGGAAGCTGGTGACTGGTTCTTGGGTAAGGAAGTTGGGAATGTGATTGGTGCAAATTCCTGTTCAGCAGTTACATGGCACCCCTATCACACACCCCCTGTGGCTCTATAGCTGGGCTGCTCACTCACACTTTCAGTGGGTTGGCAGCCGCCCCCTGGCCTGGTTCCTGGCGGGAAAAGGTTAGGCTTCCCCTGAGTGGTCTTAATCAGTCCTCTGCCTGGGTAAGAGGTGAGCTGGAGCAGAAGAGCCCAGAACAGGACCAGGGGCAGGGGCAGCAGGATGAGGGAAGGGTGGGGACGGTGAGAGGCAGCAAGGGAGCCCTTCCCCAGCAGCTGCGCTGAGCTCTGTAGACCAGCAGGGCAGCAGGTTCCACGCCACAATGTGCGTGTGGGTACACACCCACACGCGCGTGCACCTGTGCGCATGTGTGCCCCGGAGTGCATGCCTACAATGCGGGCACACATAGGCGCGCGTATGCACTGTGCATGTGTGCCCGTGCTGCGAGGGCACGCACATGTGAGCATGCACATGCATGCGCGCACACACACGTGCACACTGAGTCAGCCGGGTACCCCCGGGGCCTCCAAAACACCCGGGCGTAAATGGAGTAGGAGCGGACGGCCGCGGTGCGGACTGGCCGCCGGCTGTGTGCCAGGCCCGAGGCCGGGCTGGGCCGTGGGGCGCAGAGGCGCGGGCTCTCCCCCACTGTCTCAGGGAGGAAGGCCGGAGACCGGCGGGGCCCTGTCCGGCGGGAGGCGCGGCAAGTTCTAAGAGGACAGGCAGCGCTGACGCGGGCCGCCCGAGACCACTTCCTTAAGGAGGTAAACTCGAACCCGGAGCCCAGAGGCAGGGACGAGGCGCAGGCCGCCGGGCA